CTGACCCACAGCGCCCCTAGAGGACAGAGTGGAACTGCACCACAGGGTCTCCAAGGCTGTCAATCTTCACAGAAGCAAAGGCCAAACCACACCCACTGCTGTGGAGTCCATTCTGACCCACAGCGCCCCTAGAGGACAGAGTGGAACTGCGCCACAGGGTCTCCCAGGCTGTCAATCTTCATGGAAGCCAACCATCTCAGCTGTCTCTTTGGGAGAAGCTGGTGGGTTCAAATCACCGATGTTTGGGTTAGTAGCCAGTTTTCACCACTGTGCCACCAGAGGTATCTAAGGAAGCTGAACTTCCCAGGGCCAAAACCCACAGTCCCTTGGTCCTCAAAGCCGCTGCCTCCTCCTCAAGACAAAGAACAGCTCAGGGCAAAAATCCAGTCCTGCTAAATATAACCTCTGCTCACCCAAGCTTCTCGGCCCTTCTTCCCAATTTGCAACGGAAGCCTCGTGCTGCAGCGCCAAAGACATCGAGTCTGAGAGGCGCCTGTTAACGCGTCGTGCTGCCGTCACACGTGGCTGTTGGGTTTGTAAATCGAGTACTGCAGGCAGGAAACCTCAGGACAGTAGTCTGCACACACCTCCCCTTACATCTATATAAGTAGGGACAAGACCTATTTAAAGGATAAAATGTTACACCCATGTGTTTTATGTACATACTTAAAAAACGAACGCGGTGCCTACAAGTGCGTCCAGGAAAACAGTGCTCCATACGGTTTTCAGTGGCTGCTATGTGGGAAACACATCGCCAGGCCTTTGCTCCGAGGCAGCTCTGGGGAGACGTGAGCCGCTCATCTCCCAGTTAGCAGCAGACACCCTAACCCTTTGTGCCACCCGTGTGTGTATAAAACCAAAAGAAACCCGTTGCTGTGGAACCTGACTCGTGGCCATGCTGGGTCACAGAGCACAACTTCCCAGTAGGGTCTTCGAGGCTGTCGTCTTTCTGGGAGCAGATGGCCACACCTTTCTACCGTGGAGCCCCCGGCTGGTTTGAACCTCCAGCCTTTTGGTTAGCAGTGAGCACTTGACCACCGGACCACCAGGGCTACTTTCTGTGTTTGTGTTTATTCATATGTATGTATGAGCAGCTCTGGTGGTATAGTGCCTAAGACACTTGACTGCTAACCAGAAGGCTGGCAGTTCAAACCCACCAGCCACTGCTCGGAAGGAAGGTTGGACAATCTACTTCCATAGTGATACTGCCTTGGAAACCCAAGGAGGGGTCACTATGAGTCAAGTCAAGTCAATGGCAGTGGGTTTGGTTTGGGCTTTGCTTCCATGAAGATTGACAGCCTTGGAGACCCTGTGGGCAGTTCCACTCTGTCCTCTAGGGGCGCTGTGGGTCAGAATGGACTCCAGGCAGTGGGTGTGGTTTGGGCTTTGCTTCTGTGAAGATTGACAGCCTTGGAGACCCTGTGGGCAGTTCCACTCTGTCCTCTAGGGGCGCTGTGGGTCAGAATGGACTCCACGGCAGTGGGTGTGGTTTGGGTTTTGCTTCCATGAAGACTGACAGCCTTGGAGACCCTGTGGGGCAGTTCCACTCTGTCCTCTAGGGGCGCTGTGGGTCAGAATGGACTCCACGGCAGTGGGTGTGGTTTGGGTTTTGCTTCCATGAAGACTGACAGCCTTGGAGACCCTGTGGGCAGTTCCACTCTGTCCTCTAGGGGCGCTGTGGGTCAGAATGGACTCCACGGCAGTGGGTGTGGTTTGGGTTTTGCTTCCATGAAGACTGACAGCCTTGGAGACCCTGTGGGAAGTTCCACTCTGTCCTCTAGGGACCCGGGGAGTTGGAATCAACTCACTGGTCGTGGGTTGGGCCTTTGGGTTTAAAGGAGAGGCTTTCAGTATTGATTCCCAACACCATATTCTGTCCCTGGGCTCCACGTGGTTCTCATGGCTGGGTTTCAGCAGGTGATAACCAGGCCTTTCCTCCTGGTCGGCCTCAGTCTGGAAGCCCCTGTGACACCTGTCAGCCTCCCAGCACCCCACGGGCCTCCAGACAGATGGCTGGTGGGTGTCTGCCAATGAGGTGCTCTGTCTGGGAACTGAACCCAGGTGTCCCACCCAGAAGGCTAGAGTCCTGCCACCGACCAGTGGCCCACACTGCCCTCGCGCTGTAGCTTAGACCCGGCTCAAAGAGCAGACATTGCAGGCAAGTCCAGGTCAGGCTGGAGAGGTTGGTGCCTCACGATTCAGGGAAAGAGAGTCGGTGGCTGGTGCTATGGGTTCGCACGCCCGGCTGCTGACCGAAAGCTTGGAGGGTCAGGTCAACTCTATTCCCAAAAACGCAGCCAGTGCAACCGACTGCGAGGCCCCCAGGCACCGTGACTTGGAGTCAGCTCAGACCTGGTGGGAGTCCGTGGTGGGACAGGGCGCACACTGCCCTGCTGACCAAAAGGGCGGTGAACTTCATCCACCGCCGGAGCCTCGTAAGAAACTCCTGGTAACCAGCTTCTAAAACTCAGTCACTCAACCCCGCAGAACACACTTCAACTCGGACACCCACAGGGGCAATGTGAGGCCGACTCAACTCCTCTGCAACCTTTCTATTTTTTTTTTTCTCCTGCAAAAGGTGTTGAGTGCTATCCGTTGTCCGTCCTCCCCTCAGCCCATCCCTCACCAGCTCCTGAAATACCACTGCGGGCACCCGCCTCTGTCCGGCCCCTCACTCGAAGGCGGTTTTGTGAGCTGCACGGAGCTGATAT